CCCTGTCACCTGTCACCCGTCCCCCTGTCTCTGTCACCCTGTCCCTGTCACCCTGTCACCTGTTACCCTGTCACCTGTCACCCGTCACCCTGTCTCTGTCACCCTGTCCCTGTCACCCTGTCACCTGTTACCCTGTCACCTGTCACCCGTCACCCTGTCTCTGTCACCCTGTCTCTGTTACCCTGTCACCCTGTCCCTGTCACCTGTCGCTCTGTCACCCTGTCCCTGTCACCCTGTCACTCTGCCCCTGTCACCTGTCACCCTGTCACCCCCTTGCTGTGACCTGCAGTGTCCCTGTCATCTTCAAGTCCTCCCTGTCCCCCTCCCTGTCCCCTCCATGTCCTCCAACATCCCTGTCCCCTCCCTGTCCCCTCCCTGTCCCCTCCGTGTCCCCTCCACGTCCTCCAACATCCCTGTCCCCTCCGTGTCCCGCCACGCTGTTGTCCCCTCCCTGTCCCTGTCCCTTCTCTGTCCCCTCCACGGTCCCTGTCCCCCCCAACGGTCCCTGTCCCCGCAGACCAAGGTGAACGAGGACTTCACGGTGAAGGCCGAGGGGGTTGGCAAGGGGACAATGACAGTCGTGACCGTCTACAACGCCAAGGTCCCCGACAAGGACGACAAGTGCGACAACTTCGACCTGCGCGTGCAGGTGGAGGAGGTGGCGACAGGTCAGTGTCCCCAGCGTGTCCCCAGCGTGTCCCCAGCGTGTCCCCCGTGTTGTACCCCCCGTGTCCCCCCCTGATGTCCCCTCACCGTCCCCGTGTCCCCGCGCAGGCAAAGAGGAGGAGGACGTCATCAGGTCCATCAAGATCACCGTCTGTGCCAGGTTGGGGACCCTGGGGACAGCGGGGGGGCCGGGGACGTCGGGGACATCGGGGCCAGGGAAGGGGGTGGCAGGGGAGAGGCGTCGGGGAGAAGGGACATCGGGGACACTGGGGACACTGAGGACAGGGAGGGGGATGGCAGGGGAGGGACATCAGGGAGAAGGATGGGGACACTGGGAACAGGGAGGGGATAGGAAGGACATTGGGGATGTTGGGGACAGGGAGGGGAATGGGGATGTTGGGGACAGGGACATCAGGGGATGGGGAGGACATTGGGGACAGGGAGAGGAATGGAGACACTGAGGAGAGGGACATCAGGATAAAGGATGGGGACACTGGGGACAAACAGGGACGTTGGGGACAGGGAGGGGAATGGGGACGTTGGGGACAGGGAGGGGACAGGGAGGACACTGGGGTCAGGGAGGGGAATGGGGACGTTGGGGACAGGGAGGGGGCAGGGAGGACATTGGGCACAGGGAGGGGAATGGGGACACTGGGGAGAGGGANGGCTCGGCCCCCTTGTAACCCCCCTGTGGGGCGGGACATGGGACACGGGATATGGGACATGGGATATGGGATATGGGACATGGGACATGGGACACGGGACATGGGACATGGGATATGGGACACAGGATATGGGACATGGGATATAGGACACGGGGTATGGGATATGGGATATGGGATATGGGATATGGGACACAGGACATGGGATATGGGACACGGGATATGGGACATGGGATATAGGACATGGGATATAGGACACGGGATATGGGACATGGGACATGGGACATGGGATATGGGACATGGGATATGGGACACGGGATACAGGACATGGGACATGGGATATGGGACACAGGATATGGGACATGGGATATAGGACATGGGATATGGGATATGGGACACAGGACATGGGATATGGGACACAGGATACAGGACATGGGACATGGGATATGGGACATGGGATATAGGACACGGGATATGGGACATGGGACACGGGATACAGGACATGGGACATGGGATATGGGACATGGAATATGGGATATGGGACATGGGACACGGGACATGGGACACGGGATATGGGACATGGGACATGGGATATGGGACACGGGATACAGGACATGGGATATGGGACATGGAATATGGGATATGGGACATGGGACACGGGACATGGGATATGGGATATGGGACATGGGACACGGGATATGGGACATGGGATATGGGATATGGGACATGGGACACGGGACATGGGACACGGGATATGGGACATGGGACATGGGACACGGGATATGGGATATGGGACATGGGACACGGGATATGGGACATGGGATATGGGACAAGGACACACCTCAGCATCGGGGGGGGCCTGGCAGGACCTCTCCCTGTTCCCCTCCCCATCCCCTGATATCCCCAATGTCCTCCCCATTCCCCTCCCTGTCCCCAATGTCCCCACCCTTCTCCCCGATGTCCCATCACCCAGGAGGATCCTTCCACCCCAACAGCTCATCCCAAACATCCCTCCCCAAGCCAGGAAATCCCAAATATCCCTTCCCAAAACAGGGAATCCCAAACATCCCCAAGCCAGGGAACCCCAAACATCCCTCCCCAAACCAGGGAACCCCAAACATCCCTCCCCAAACCAGGGAACCTCAAACATCCCCAAACCAGGGAATCCCAACCATCCCTCCCCAAACCAGGGAATCCCAAACCATCCCTCCCCAAACCAGGGAACCCCAAACCATCCCTCCCCAAACCAGGGAACCCAAACCATCCCTCCCCAAGCCCCAGAATGCCGAGCAGACCCCTGGGGTTGGTGTCCCCCCCTTACAATCATCTCCTGGTGGATGACGGGAGCGTCCTCCTGGAAGATCCCGTCCGGCTTCTGCTTGTTGAGGATGAGCCACTTGACGGCCCCACAAATGACCTCGGGCTCGATGTCCGTCAGCTTCCGGGCCATGGAGAACACTTTGACCACGTAGGCGGTCAGCCTGGGGACGGGGGGGGACACAGGGGTCACCTCCCAGTTTTTGGGGTTCCCTGGTTTGGGGGGGGCTGGTTGGGGATTCCCTGGTTTGGGGGGGGC